AATTTCCACATTTTAAGGACCTGTAGTAAATCTTTATTGCTTTACTTCACATGTTTTGTAACAATAAACAACTCTCCGATCTCTGAACCAAAGCTTCCTTCATCTTTTATGTACACTACTGCAAAGGGTACTGCAGGAGCTGATTGACAACCTACTTCCTTTCTTGTGTCCTAGCACCCCAAGCCAAGGCATCTGTTTTCACCAGAATGAACTTTCTAAAATGCAAATGTGATTATGGTGCTCCCTACCAAAATACATTCAGCTTTTCTGCATCACCTGTAACAAACTTTTCAAGGCAATTTAAAAAATGTGCTTTTAAAAAAATGCTCATTTTTGGGCTTTGCACATGGAGACTCCAATTCAGCAGGGACGAGGTGGTAGAGTGGTACCTAGGCACTCTTAAAAACTTTTACAGGAGATTCTATCACACAGCCAGACTAGGAAAATTCATCCACAGGATGGAGTTCTAATACCATTACAGGGAAGAGACTATTCAGAAACTGCCACCTGCCTGTCACTCCCAGATCACTTATTAGCTGCAAGACTTCGGCTTAATTATGTAGGTATCTGAGCCTCAGCTGCCTCAGTTTGAATGAGAATGCTAGTACAAATGTTGCAGCACTCTTCTAAGTATTAGATGTAGTATTAGGTCATTTATCATCCAAACTGAGGCACTATTAATAATTACTCCAGGATACTATGATAAACTTGAGCTGTCCCAGACAAACCAGGACACTATAATCTAAGGAGATCTATTCAAAGCATTTTTTACAGTGGATATAACAGAAGCTCAATAAGTCACTTTCATTTTTATCATTCTTCACATTTGCTCCCCTACTTTGCTGGAAGCTGTAGCACACCAGGGTCATGGCACAAGGCACACAAGTGATGTTTGTGAAATGCTCTAACCAAGATTTTGAATGTTCGTCTGTCACTACCCTTCTCCCCATATACTTGATACTTTCTTCCTTGATTTTTTTTGTTTTGTTTTAATTTTTTATTTCTATAGGTTTTAAGGGAACAGGTGGTGTTTGGTTGCATGAATAAGTTCTTTGGTGGTGATTTCTGAGATTTTGGTACACCCATCACCCGGGCAGTATACACTGTGCTCAATCTGTAGTCTTTATCACTCCGCTCCTTCCCACCCTTCTCCTCTAAGTCCCCAAAGTCCATTGTATCATTCTTATGCCTTTGTATCCTCATAGCTTAGCTCCCCCTAAGAGTGAGAACATATGATGTTTAGTTTTCCATTCCTGAGTTTCCTCACTTAGAATAATGGTCTCCAGTTCCATCCAGGTTGCTGCGAATGCCCTTATTTCATTCCTTTCTATGGCTGGGTGTTAGTACATGGTATATATACATACCACAATTTCTTTATCCACTTACTGATTGATGGGCATTTGGGGTGGTTCCATATTTTTGCAATTGTGAATTGTGCTGCTATAAACACATGTGTGCAAGTATCTTTTTCATATAATGACTTCTTTTCTTCTGGGTAGATACCCAGTAGTCTCCCTTGATATTTTTTATAAGCCTTGATATTCCCCTCCTTTTCTCCTCTACCACTTTAGCTCATCTCTTTGTAGGTCCCAGGACAAGGAATGCAAAGAGGCCCGCTTGTAATTTATTTTTTAAAATTAAAAGCTGCATATCAAGCTAAAAAATGGTTAAGTATCTCCTATTTTGACAGGTTAATCATGACAGGTCCAAAGTTAGATATCCTGGAATGCCTGGAGTTGCACACAGGACTGTGATGAGGGCAGTGCCAATCCTGGGGGCCTACCACCCAGTCCCCTTTCTACTCCTGTCCCTAACTCCATCTGTGTGACGGGAGCATCACATGTAAGGGTGTGGACACACAAACCTGCACATATTCAAGCTTTGTACATCTCCCACTTCTACCTTTCCTAGCAAACAGCTTGAAGGGTGTGTATTATATACCTGTTGCCACTGTAACAAATTACTACAACACCAATGGCTTGAAACAGCACAAATTTATTATTTTTTAGCTTTGGAAATTAGTCTTACAGGACTAAAACCAAGATGTTGGCATTGCTGTTTCCTTCCGGAGGCTCTAGGTGAAAATCCCTTTCCTTGCCTTTCTCAACTTCTAACACACTTCATTCTATGATCATGGTCCCATCCTCCATCTCCAAAGCCAGCAGTGTAGCATCTTCTCTCCTCTTTGCCTTCTGTCTTGCTCTTGTAAAGACCCCAGTGATTACACAGAGCCTGTTTAGATAATCCAGGATAATCTCCTCATCTCAATTGTTTTTAACTTAATCACATCTACAGAGTCCCTTTTGCCAAATTAGGTAGCATTTACAGGTTCCAGAGATTAGGATGTGGACATATGTGGGGGCCATCATTCTGTCTCCCAAAGGGTGTGCATACCAATGGACACTTGAGAGGATGAACCCAAGGAAGAAGTGTGAGTGAGCATTGGAGCCACACTTGGGAACACCTAGGCAGGGATTCTGGTCATGGAGGAGCTGTAGGGTCATGGTGAGCATGTCCTCTTGGCCCTCAGGATTCTTTGCCCTGCCCAGCCAGAGGGGGTCCCTCTAAAGCTCAGAACCCAGAGCAGGGTCCTTTCTCAGGCAGGGACCTCAGCATAGTACATCTCCTTTCTCCTGCTGATCTGGCAACCTCTGCCTGATTCCCTTTCTCTTGATCTCTCTATAAGACTGTCAGAGAAAAGCATGTTAGCAAATTGTTTTACTGTATCAAAAGTTCTTTTTCTTTTATTTTCATCCCTGCCTTTTGCTTGTCATGAAAGAGCCCCATTCCACACCCACTCATTGTTTTTACCATCCTCACTGACTTTCCCTTCCTTTGAATCTCTAATTCTATCCTTCCGCCACCTCTTCAGTGTTCTTAAAATACACAAGATTTCACCTGCTTGCTGTGTGTGTGTGTTTTTTTTAAAATATGCTATCCAGCTAGCAAGTTATTCCTGAATCCTACAACATTGTTAATTCATTCCTCTTATATTTCTTTTTTAGTTCTAAATTTTCCTCCAGCATTTGGAGCCTGAAGAGTTTCTTCTATAATCTAATTTAAAATCACTCTACTTGGTCTACTTGCATACTCTCTCTTTATATTTTGCTGGATGTTGGCCATTTTAAATAATGTTTCCACACTTATACTATATATACAGAAGAACTTATATTTCCAAAAAAGTATCTTTAAAAAATGTTTTCTCCCTGTAGTCCCAGCTACTCGGGAGCCTGAGGCAGGAGAATTGCTTGAACCTGGGAGGCAGAGGTTGCAGTGAGCCAAGATTGTGCCACTGCACTCCAAACTGGGCAACAGAGTGAGACTCCATCTCAAAAGAAAAAAAAAGTTTTCTCTTAAGTTTTTAAAAATCTCTGAACTCTGATCTGTGTTTTCACTTATTCTTGTTAATGCATGGAAAGTTTAAGCAATCATCTATGTTTAAGGTCTACATAGTTTGGAGAGCTTATGAATTATTTCACAAGAAGGTTTTGTAGATTTTTTCCTTAATGAGACATTACATATTCCTAAGGCTCTGATGAAAAGAAAATTTGCCCATTTAAATTTGATTTAAAATTCATATTATACAATTTCAGTAATTTTAAAAATCTCTGATTATAATAATGTTATAATATTACTATAGTGTGTGCTCCATTAGGGTGCATGTGTCTGTCTTATTTATCACTGTAGCTCAGCGATAGTTTAGCCACCAGTGGCTGTATTTTAGCAAATAACTGAGAAAGTGAATGTGAGAATGAGTGATAGAATTTCAAAATGGCTTTTAAAAGCAATATAAAGATGTTCCATATAAACCATGCTGCCTCGGCCGGGCGCGGTGGCTCACGCCTGTAATCCCAGCACTTTGGAAGGCCGAGGCGGGCGGATCACAAGGTCAGGAGATGGAGACCATGGTGAAACCCCGTCTCTACTAAAAATAGAAAAAATTAGCCGGGCGCAGTGGCGGGCGCCTGTAGTCCCGGCTACTCGGGAGGCTGAGGCCAGAGAATGGCGTGAACCCGGGAGGCGGAGCTTGCAGTGAGCCGAGATCGCGCCACTGCACTCCAGCCTGGGCGACAGAGCGAGACTCCGTCTCAAAAAAAAAAAAAAAAAAACAAAAAAAAAAAACATGCTGCCTCAATCAGAACACTGAAATATAGACTTTTAAATTCTCAATCAAATTTGTAGTCTCTCCTAGACTATTCTGCTGTGAGTAGTAAATTACTTCACTAAGGGTGCTAACTAAACTGTGTATATTCAAGATAACCATGGTCTGTTTAAATAGTTTATGAATGATAAATACAGAAGATATTATATAGATGTTATTTTATAAAGATGCTATAGTGATAATTCTGTATGTTATAGAATTATATAGACACTGAGATACCAAATATGCTAAAGACACTAAGATATCTACCTTTTTTTTTTTTTTTTTTTGAGACAGAGTCTTACTCTGTCACCCAGGCTGCAGTGCAATGGCCGGATCTCGGCTCACTGCAACCTCCGCTTCCCGAATTCAAGTGATTCTCCTGCCTCAGCCTCCCTAGTAGCTGGGATTACAGGCATGTGCCACCATGCCCGGCAAATTTTTGTAGTTTTAGTAGAGATGGGGCTTCATCACTGTCCAGACTGGTCTCAAGCTCTTGACCTCACGATCCACCCGCCTCGGCCTCCCAAAGTTCTAGTATAGGCATGAACCACTGCGCCTGGCCACTAAGTATCTTTAACACAGTGTTAGCAGATGAGAAATGTGACTCTCTGGTACTGAAATGAAGACAGGAAATGAGGGAAACTATCTTCCTTAACTCTTTTTCCTCATTGCTTTAGGAATTGTGTATGGTGCTTGGTTCACTGCAATTTTGTCTAGCTTTATAATGGTAAAAATGTGTATAATTTCTTCAGTATGAAAGTATTTTATATAGCTTCACTAAGTCGAAGGTTTACTTCCTCGTGTTCTCTCTTATACAAATGATTGAAGATGTCTTTTTTTTATTTCTTGTCCTCAGAATGGCTTTACTCCTTTATACATGGCTGCCCAAGAGAATCACATTGATGTTGTGAAATATTTGTTGGAAAATGGAGCTAATCAGAGCACTGCTACAGAGGTAAGACTGTCAGCCCTAAAGTCTTGAATTCTTTGATCTTAATGTCCATATTCTTTATATCAGTCTGCAAATAATCTCCATTACTTTGTCTGAAATATGCTAGGAACGTTCATGTTACTATTATAATCGCAACAGTGGTTATGAACAAATGACTCAGGCTTGTGCACGGAGTTCCATCAGTTTATGCCTTCATTTTGGATTCGTGTCTACTTATTCTTACATAAAATCATGCCTCCATCAGTTTTCCATCCTCTGGCCTTTTGGGAGCTTTGTACCATTCTAAAATTCAATTACAGTAAATTCTACTCATCTCTTTGCACCAATATTTTATCTTTGTTAGGATCTAATATAATTCCTTAATGGAACAACATTTTTACCATCAGAAATAATTCATAAGTATCTGTGTTAGCACAGTTTCATGAGGAATGTCACTAAAAAACACCCTGTACCTTATTGAAGCACAAATTATGAAACATGGTTGTGTGACTGATTATGGCAACAATTGAATAGAATGTTCAAAATCAGTCTAGTTTTAAAGAGTTCCAGGACATCTGGACCTAATAAGTGAGAGTGGACAGGGGCCTTGAGAACATCAGTTTTCTTTCCTAAGCACTTATTATTTCACCTAGTAAGTAGAAACTGCTTTGTATTTTCCTTCTCATTTTTACTTAGGTAGGCAGATTAAGCAGCAAGTTCAAGGGCTGTCTGGGGCAGTGATTTCAAGTGATGCTCCAGAAGCTCTTGTGCTTCGGGCCACTGAAAGGTTGGGAGTGGGCCACATGCAAGAGGAGAGGAAGAGAGCTCGCCTGAGACATGTCTCTCCTTACCTCTTTCAACCAGCGTATATGGGCTTGGCTTTTCCTATTTCATATTTGGTGGCCCCACTGATAAAATTTCAAAACTCCTGGCCTGAAGTGAAAGAAGACTGATGGATTCTTGTTACCCAGAAATTATCTTAAGATAATTTTTAATGTGGCTTCCTTTCTGGACAATTAAGTCTTTAGGACATGAACTCCCTTCTATGCTGCATTAGAAGGAGAGGTTATTAAAATATAATAAATCCTTTTCCAGTCCCTTTGGGAGAAAACTTTTTATGGAGCCAATTGCAACGACTTTCTGACAGCTTATTCTCATTAGTTTAAAAAAAATCCAAGAAAACACTATGAATGAGACCATGTTGCCTACCTATGACTGGAAAACACAACTGCCCAGTATGAAATGTTTTTGAGTTCTCTATTCAATACACACAGATTTTATACTCTTGCCACTTGGATATAGTGTGATTTTTATGATTTGGGACCTTTTCTTTCCTCAGACACTAGTTCTGTCCATGAGTACCATGTGAATATCTTCGGGCAGAGCTCAGGTAACAATATGAGTCTGCATCTTTGCATCTGGGCCTCTGAGAAATATATCAAAATAAGGACATCTATGTTTGCTTTATTTGATTTTGATTTTCTTGAAAGCAGAATCATTTACCAGATGAAACCTTTACTCTAGAGTGCTTCTATTTACCAAATAGACTTAAGGTTTCTAGTGTAGGATTTAGGAAAACTGAGCTTGCTGGCATTCCCAGCTGTCTCATGGCTTCTGGCTCCTTTGGTCTAGACCTCTGTAGCATTTCCCATTTGATTCCAAAAATACCCTTTTATGTACATTGCATCAGTAGGGGCTATGTTATACTTTGATCCCCAGAAAGTTAAAATCCTCTCTGATTCCACAAGGAAATGTGTCTTTTGCAAATAAATCATGTGAGGTTTTAAATTCTAGCTTAGACACATTATATATCTATTATTTGTTTCATTTTACAAACTCATTTAAATAGCTAAAATTACTTTTTTCCTATTGAATATATAAGCTTAATTGATTAAACTCTCATTGTCTGCACTAATGGTTATCAAAAAACACACATGGACAAATCTTTACGTATTCCTTTTTAGTGTATCATTTTGTTAAAAAAAAAAATAATAATGTTTTTACAGGGCTGTATGGTTGATTGCCATTTGATATCCTGTGTTATATTGCTAAATACCATCTACAGTCTTATGTGAACATGTGTGAATATACCTAAAGAAGGGACTTGCCCTGAGCTGGTTGGTAGCTAATTTGCAAAAATTAATAACTAATCAAGATATTATGACCACTTTAAAATCAAATAATTATGAGATTATTCAATGTGGCAATGAAATTCATGACTGAGAAGAAATATTTAAATTTCCCATAATTATGGCACTTAGCATTGGTAAATGAATGATGAAAAATGAAGCTACTGAACTTTCATATGGATTTCCTTTTAGTTGAGGTACTTGAACAAATCATTCCAAATGTTTAGCCTTATCCCATGCAGTATAGATTAGAGTGAAATCTACATGGTGAAGATCCAAGGTTAAATTCTCAGAAGGGAGTTCTCAGTCTCTCCAGTACCATTTTTATACAGTATTTCTCTACTCTCTTCCTTCTTCCTAAATGTTACCAAAATTAAAGGCCAAAAACTTTTTAACGACATTCTGTTCTGTGAGCAAATGCCTCATCCCCAAGAAAAAAATTAATTTCACACTCTTTTAATATAAACTATCACAGTGCTGCAGGAGATAATACATTTAAATATGTATGTGATAATGAGTCTGTGCTTTTCTCATTCGCAGAGCATTTAATATGTGCCAAACAAAGTTCTAAATTCAGGCTACTATTTTTCATCTTAAGATACTACATGCTTTACTCTTCCATTCTGTTAATGTGTTATGTTTAAAAATCAGTTATTATTAAAAAATTATTATTGCTGGTACTGCATACATGATACAATACACTTGAGGAAAACTATTTTTTCCTCAAAAGTCTGCAGTGACTTTAAAACAATTATTATTGGAAAAAAATTGAGTAGTTAAATTGTGATAAATTACCATTGTCTCTAGAGTGCAGTCTTGGGTTCAAGCGATTCTCCTGCCTCAACTTCCCAAGTAGCTTGGATTACAGGTACACACCACCACATCCAGCTAATTTTTTCTTTGGTATTTTTAGAGGAGATAGTTTTTCACCATGTTGGCCAGACTCGTCTCAAACTCCTGTCCTCAGGTGATCTACCCGCCTCGGCCTCCCAAAGTGCTGGGATTACAGATGTGAGCCACCCTGCCTGGCCTAGAATGCAGTCTTTCAATTTACCATTCTATTGTAAATTGTATTTTTTTCTCTATGTGAATGGAAACTTCTAACTTTGAGACTTGTTTTCCAACTTTTGTGGATTAAGGGTGTTTTTTTTTTCTTTCACATAAGTAGAGCCTAAAATATATTATTTTTTGATGTACTTGTCACCTTTCCAAGAACTGAATACTTGTTTCTAGAGAGAAAAATATAGCTTTCCAAGTTTTCTAGCATGATTATCTACTACTAAGTTTTCTCTACCTTTTCACTCCCCATGCTACTGGTTTTTTACTGTCTTCTTAAGTTTAGAATTGAAAACAGGTTTTTCTACATTGCCTAGCACATGTAATTTTATATCTAAATGGTCAAAATAATATAAAATTCAACTGTTAAGGGCATAATTAATAAATTAGCCTAATTTGCCAGAGTTTTAGATTGTATTGTTCCCTAAACTTCCAAAATTGAATTGGTAATAGATAACTCCATCCCTAGGGGCTGTTTTCCTTAACCATTCAGTGATATTTAGTAACCTGCATAGTCAATCATATATTTTATTTCCCTGTCTCAGTTACCATATCTTCGATTCCCAGTCAGACTTGGTCTCCATTCTTTCTACCCTTCCCACTTTTCTGCTTTACCTACAGAGGCATTATTTAGGATTGGTTCTCACTTTTATTTTTCGATTGCAACCATACATTTGAGCACATCCTGTATGTAGTATGTTTGTTAAAGAATGCGGATGTTTTTCAAAATGTATAGAATAGAAATTAGGAAAGCCGTTTGATTAAAGTATTCCATAATATGATGGATAACTGGTTATAATCTGCTTCTAATCTTCCCAGTAATATTTGGTTGTCAATCTTGATCATTAAAGATTAGAGCCATCATTGCTTAGAACTAAATCTCTAGCATCTAAAGATGTTAACAGACAATTTTTACCTTCTGTTTTACCAGGATGGCTTTACTCCTCTAGCTGTGGCACTCCAGCAAGGACACAACCAGGCAGTGGCCATCCTCTTGGAAAATGACACCAAAGGGAAAGTGAGACTGCCAGCTCTGCATATTGCCGCTAGGAAAGACGACACCAAATCTGCCGCACTCCTTCTTCAGAATGACCACAATGCTGACGTACAATCCAAGGTAAAAGCTGAACACATTTGTGGAAAGGAACTCTTTGGCTGCCAGACTCCTCCTGGGGGATGATAAAGAAGTAGGCCATGGTGATAATGCAAAATTATTTCTGGTCATAAAAAGAGATAAATGACTTTCAGAGGTATTTCAGAAAGAAGGGGACCATCTAAAAAAATTAAATGCAAGATAATTTTCTTTAAAAGACGAGGTTGAGCTTTTTAGAAATCTGCTTTCTTATTCTGTTTTTAGTCACAAATAATAGAATTTAAAAGATAAAATTGTATTGTGTAGTGCTTGGGGATGTCTTCTTTCAGTAGAATGCATTTTGGCATGTTGGAACAGTGTACCCAATTGCAGTGAGCATATTGACTGTTACCATAATTTTGCATTGTGTAATATCTTCCCTCTTTCTCCCAAACAACACTGCTTCAGATGATGGTGAATAGGACAACTGAGGTACAGTATTGTGGTTATACCAAAATTTACCTTGTCTTTATTTTTAGTTTTTGCCCAATTAGAATAAATGCTCACTAATTCATACTAATGATTACAAGTTCCATTAATGGGAAATTAATTTGGAAACCTTTCCCATAATGAAGGCAAACTGATAATTCAAAGATATTCAATGTAACATATAATAGAAGCATTATTTTATCAGTAAAACTATTTAAATAGGTTATTAGAGAATGAAATGAAACTCTTTCTTAACATATATTTTAATAAGTGAACTTTACTATTAACTTATTGTCAAGAAGAGATATGATTTTATTTCCTTAATGAGAATTCTCAGGTTAGAGTTTTTACAAAGTGAAAATTTGGGAGGTTTCTCTGCCACTGTGTTTTGTCTTTTTATCTAATTGCAGTTGCCCTTTTTTTCCTGTATGCTCTTTTTCTTTACCACATTTTATATAATAAATGATATTATTGAACGTATCAAGAGCAGACCAATTGCTTTTTCTTCTAAGTCTTAAAATACTTGTCATAGAATCGTATATTTTCCACATTCCAAAATAAGTCACTTCAATCAATAAGAACATTAAGTTCAGAAGCCTCTCAGTATGGTGTGTTTGTATATGTATGTATTTGGTAGTCTCTCCTTGGCCATTGCTACAGAGAGACACTAACACAAACATTGTTGATGTATATTACACAAATTAACCTATACTCAAAAACAAGTGACTATTTATGTAGGTCCGTTATTGTTTTGCTGAGGGGATTCTTTAGACTATCATCTCATTTGATGACTAGGTTATGGACTTATGAGCATTCTCACAGAGTATACTTGAATTATTTGTGTTATTTCTTTTGTTCCCTGTCTTTGTATGGAACCTAGGTCAGAGACAACAGAAAGCCCAACTGCTTGGTGAACTTGTTCACAACTAGAACCATACAAATTGATATCTTAATAACTAATTTCAGTACCTTTACTTTCTTAGATGCTTTTTGATGATTATTTAAGATACATTTTTGAAAGCGGTATTGGCTCTAAAGATTGTGAAAGCAAAAGTTTGGGTGAATTTTTACTGAGTTATAAATATTTCCTTGAAGACAATAGAGTAAAAAGAATAGAAACCCCTTTGTCTAATCCTGTAGAAATGTGAACTCTGCCTCCTGCTTCCATGTTAATCAGGGAAGAGTTCCTCTGAAGGGCTGATACCAGTTTTGTGCTGATCCAAGATTCACAGCCTGGGTATCATTATGAATGATCAGTGAGGCTATATCAGACAATAAGTTAGTTTATTTTTGCAAATGATATTACTATATTTAAAGACTTTGAAAATGATTCAGCCAGCCTCAGTATGTTTTTCTGAAACTAAATTGTGACATCAATAATAGACACACACTCAGGATATGTCTGAGTGACAGGAAATATCAAGATAAAAATGAAACAAATTTAGTCAATTATTTCCTAAAATATAAAAATTTGACATTTTATCAAATAACAGCCAGGTTGAGGGCTGATTTCCCCCTCCATTTTGACATGAATATTGGCATGATGTAAATGCAAAATAAAAATATCTTGATCATAGATGTGGGATTTTGATTAATAGTTACTGTTCTTATTTTGTGTCTTACTTCTCTCTAAGTGAGAAATTATTTGTAGTTAATGTTGCTACAGTAATAGCACAAATTTTCATTACCTAAGGTATTTGAATGCTTAATTAGGGTGTTTTTAAAACAAAGTCACAAAAGCCTATGTATCAACTCAACAGAAAAAAATGGTTGTAATTTTGAAAATATTTCTTAAAAACAATACAGTAAACAATTCATTTCAACTAAAAGAGAGCGATACCAAGTAACCCAAAATCTGCAGAATGTGATAGCAAATAACAGTTTCTGTTTTTCCCATAATCTTTTGTTAAGTAGTGAAACTTATGGAGAGTAAGAAAAATTATCAGATCTTTGTGTACTTTAATAAGAAAAGAGTTAATATGCTTCTATTGTGAAAATGGCAACAATTTTCAACTAGATTTTCATCGGAAAAAGAAAGAAAAGGAAATATATTTTTTTCATTTGATATTTTCAGACTCAGAGAGTAAACAGTTCTGTAATGCCCATTGAGTTGATTTAACCTGGTTGGTTCAACTACATTTTATTGTATTGATAAAATCTGTTTAACATTCAAAATTGGAGTGAGCTGAACTTTTCTCTTCCTTTTTTATTCCTATTGATGCCAAGTATATTGTTTAATTTTTGTTTTTTAATTATTTCATCATGATAACATAATCTTGCTACACAGTTGTAAAAGTGTGTAGGAATATCATGACAGTGTAAATGATGTGGAACAAATTCTATATCCTTTGTAAGAAATTTTCAACATACTTTCATGCTTCCAAAATTATAATGCCAACCAATACTGCTTTTTTAAAACAAAAGTAAAACAAAAACACTGCTTTTGAATCTTCTCTGAAACGGTATTAACCAAATTCATTGATATGTTAATCCTATGGCTGAAACTTTATGTTGTTTAATCATATTCTGGTTTTCTTTAATATGCAAGACCAATTTAAGAAACATTGTTTTGTATAAACAACAAATCTCATAAATAAATATTTAAGATAATTAAAAATATGCCATGAATATTATGCCAATAAATGTAGAATATTTATTTACCTTTTTATATGTTTAGTTATGTACCACCTTATAACGTTAAGATTTAAGATCTTACTAAAGCATTTATTATTGCTTATATGTTAGGTAGACCGTTACCATGTGACTTTCTTCACTAATACAATGGCTGCAACATAGTAAAGTGAAGCGCTATACTGACTATCATATCTTTGCTTTCATAGAGTGGTTTTACTCCTTTGCACATAGCTGCACATTATGGAAATGTCAACGTGGCAACTCTTCTTCTAAACCGGGGAGCTGCTGTGGACTTCACAGCCAGGGTATGGATTAAAATAGTTTCTCATTCTAGATAGCAGTAAATAAGTACCTTAAGAAAGTAAAAAGGAACACCAATGGCTGTCTTAAAGATTTTATTTCTTTTTCCTTACCTGGGTCTGTGCTGGAGGTATTAGATTTTTCATTTTCTTTCTTTAAATCACAAGAAGTCATCTTGGCTTAAGCAGAAAATAAGAATGTTGTAAATTCATGCACAAATCATTTCCAATAGTTAAAGAGGACATTAATTCTGACCAGTATGAACAGTTATATTTAACGATCATGCCGTGAATCCTGATAAGTCATGTCAATAAATAATTAAACTGTTAAAATGTTAACTATAAAATATATAAGTAGAATGTCTTATGATGACTGTGGGGCACACAATTTGATAGGGAATTGTTTTTAATGAATTGAGAATTTGTTCCCATGAAGTCTTACTAAAATACATAAAAGGTGTCACATTGTTACATGTTTCATGGTATGCTTTTATTAGAAAGAATTCACTTACATAATAGTGGTATATATCAGTATACTTAATATACAGTTAATGCAGAATATGAATATTCAAAAATTACAACACAAAAAAAATCAGGTACATATCCTTGCCATAATGATGACAAGTGATAGCCAATAAAATAAATAAATATAATTTGTATGTGTAATGTTTTTGTACTAAGAAGTCATGTGCAGTGAAACTATGTTCTGTTATTTTCAAGCTGTTTTTCTTACTGAATTATTCTGAAGGAGATGTTTGTTTGTTGTTGTTGCTGTTTAGAGACAGGGTCTGGATCTGTTGCCCAGGGTGTAGTGCAGGGACACGATCATGGCTCACTGAAGCCCTGAACTCGTGGGCTCAAGCAATCCTCCTGACTCAACCTCCTGAGTAGCTAGGACTATAGGCACACACTACCATACCTGGCCAATTTTTTAAAATTTTTTGTGGTGATGAGGTCTTACTATGTAGCCCAGGCTGGTCTTGAACTCCTGGCTTCAAGGAATCCTCCCACCTCAACTTCCCAAAGTGCTGGAATTACAGGCATGAGCCACCATGCCCAACTTGAAGGAAATGTTTTTAAGAATCATTTTTATATTGAATATTAATAAAAATATTTGTATTCTATTTTTAAGCATCATAAAACTTAAGATTCCAGACTCTTTAAGTGCATGGATGTTATAGAAAGAAAGACTTTACACTAGGGCCCTATCTTAGGTAGATTTTAAATTTTTGTTCATATTACACTAAAGTGGTCCCTTTGTCTCTTGACTGTAACTTGTACATTCTATACATATTTTGTAGTTATTGACTAACTTAGTTATGCAGTTTCATTCCGTTTTTCATTCTCTAACTATATTGTTTTGTGGTTTGTGTGATTTTTGTTCCTTAAAAATCAAAGACATAGAAAGAGTAGAAATTGTGGATCAAATTACCACATAGGTCACAACCTCCTTTGTGGCCTTTAACACAAAGGCATCGCCATCATGCCCTGTCATACCCAACAGCTCTTGTTTGGTCTTTCTGTGGTATAGAATGGAATCACTCCTCTGCATGTGGCTTCCAAAAGGGGAAATACAAACATGGTGAAACTCTTACTGGATCGAGGCGGTCAGATCGATGCCAAAACTAGGGTGAGTGTCTCTGTTCTTTCAATTTTCTACTATTATTATTTCTTTCAATCCTCATAGAAGGCACCTCGAGACACCAGGTCATTAACATAGGCAATGTGTTTTCAAGGAAATTGCTTTACTGGAATTGATTTAAATCTCATACAACATTTAAAGGGTTCATACCATAAAGTGAAATTAATATTTGCTCATAAGTACCCACTGAAGCGAAATGTTGAGATAGTTTTGAAGTTTTTGCTTAGTGATTTTCTGGGACCAAAGATCAAAGATTAGGTTTACACAACTCTCTTTTGGGTAGTTATAAGTATCAAGAACCCAAACTAATTACCATACACTGAGATTGAGAATGTGGCTTTTACACAAAATATTTTAGTACATGTTTACAATCTTTGGCTTCTAAGTATTCAATTCCTAATTCTTTTTTCTTAAGCGGCTATGCTATCCTGACCTGAGCAGGGGATTTGCTATTATGGAGAAAAGCATACAGTTAGTATACTGTACCTTTATTTATGTCATTTTGGTAGAAGTGCTATCCTTAATTTGTTTTGAACTTAGGTAGAATATCATTTCAAGTTTGCAATACACTCTAAATAGATAACACAATAGACAGTAGAGTGCAGTTGTTAAAAGTACAGAATGAAGGCAAACTGCCTGATTTCAAATCCTAGTTTTACTATTAATAAGTTGTATTATATTGGCAGTTTACTTACCTTCTCTGAACTTAGGCTAATAACAACACACCTACTTCATAAAGTTGTGTGAGAATGAACTCTTAGCTATATTTACCGTTTTTGAAAAGGCAGAGTAAGTTACCTAGCTCTTCATAATATTTGATAATATTACTGACGTTATACAATATGTAGTTACTTGCTTTAACAGGTAAGGAGTATTTCAGTATTAATTATCTGGAGTAGATTTGTTAATCATAGACTTTGGCAAAACTTCAAATGTGCCTATAATACAAAAATGTTAATATGTACTATACAAAAATCTATGTTAAAATGTGGTGTAAAAAGCCTATGAAAGATGATAAATAGAATATGTCTCATAGTATTGAACTTCACTTTGTTTAATGCTGAGACTTCATGTTTTCATAGTGCCAGCAGTAAGGATCAAATCTAGTTTCCTTGCAAATCTGGGGGCCAGCAAACACTTTTGTTTAATAAACTTCATCATCTGTAAGCTTCCAGAATCTATACCAGTCCCAGACTATAAATTATGATTTTTAATGACCTCAGGAAACCTTGCTTTTTTAATCTCACTTCTCTAAAGCTTTTGGTCCAGAGTGGCTACGTCACAACACATGGGAGTTCTGAAGAGGTTTGCGTTCTGTCAAATCTTTGCTGTGGTGTCCAGTGTCTTTGCATCAGAGTTTTATATGGTTTCTCCTTTTTGCTTAGTAGGCATGCCTTTTTCCCTTAGCATACTGTGAGTATACAGAATTTGGAACAGTATGAGTTACGTTGCATGGTTTGCTTACTTATTCTTTATATTTAAAGGAATGAGCTTTTGCACATTACTACATTACTAACATCATTCCTAACATCATTCCTAACATTACCAATGTATTACATTACAAGCATACTTTACTAACATAATTTCTTCCTATATACTGCCTTTATGAGATTACCACTGGAAAGAAAGCATTTTGGGAATGCAAAAAATTTTTATCTTGGCCAATGTCTTAGGGATGCACATTGCTTTTATTAATGCTTTTTGGAGTATTCACTCATTATTGAGATAGTTGATTTTGTTCTTATTAATCAACAATATTTACTTAATAAAAGTACTCTAATATGTGTGGCTTACATATATTTGGGTATACAATTAAAAATTCTAACTCCAAATAGGCAGTGTATCTTCATAAAAATAGTACTCAGAAATGAAATGAAATGGATTCTTATACTAGTTCTGTCATAGTGCAGCCTTTAGATACAGCAAATAAATTAAATTTCATTCAAGGATTTAAAAAGAATAAAATAGGTTTTCTAATTGTATACATTGTATAAACATTCCATTCATTTATTCCTTAAACAAATAACTATTGAGTTCCTACTTGGTGCTGTGAACCCTGAAGATACAACAGTTAACAAGACAGAGTAGGTTTCTAGACTCACAGAGATGCAAGTCAACAGTTCAAGGAATTAAGTTAGCAGTCTTCTTGTAAAAGTTTAATAATAGGTTCTTTAAATACAAAACAAAACAAAACAAAACAAAAACTTTGATTTGTAGCATTGCCTTTGCTAGTTTCCATGGTATAAATACTTCTACAGTGGTCAGTTTAGAGCTAGCAACATGGTATCACTAAATGTAGAATTGGGAAGAGGTGTGCAAAAAGTAGCTCTCCTTATTTCATATGAACTGGTTCCAGCACACCGCAGGATTAACTACAATATTGAATGGTTGCACTGAACTTTATTATTATTATTATTATTATTATTATTATTATACTGTAGGTTCTAGGGTGCATATGCAGAACATACAGGTTTGTTACATAGGTATTCATATGCCATGGTGGTTTGCTGCACCCATCAACCCGTCATCTACAATAGGTATTTTTCCTAATGCTATCCCTCTCCTACCCCCAACCCCCAACAGCCTCCGGTGTGAGATGTTCCCCTTCCTGTGTCCATGTGTTCTCATTGTTCAACTCCCACTTATGATCGAGAACATGTGGTGTTTGGTTTTCTGTTCTTGTGTTAGTTTGCTGGGAATGATGGTTTCCAGCTTCATCCATGTCCCTGCAAAGGACATGAACTCATCCTTTTTTTATGGCTGCATAGTATTCCATGGTGTATATGTGCCACATTTTCTTTATCCAGTCTATCATTGCTGGGCATTTGACTTGGTTCCAAGTTTTTGCTATTGTGAATAGGGTTGCACTGAAATTTTTTAGCACTAAACTTTCCCCCCATAAGTTGAAATACTTCTTCATCTATAAGTAGGAGGATTTTAAAAGCATTGCTGGGTTCTTTTCATTCTGGCTACAGCTAACAGACCTATATCCCTCTTATCAGAGGCAAAATCAAGTAGGAGGTAAATACTGAAATCAAGGACTGTGTGCTGGAACTGGGAGGCCAATTCTGGAACTATAATATTTGATTACCAAAATAAATGAATATGTTTTGCTTTTTCTTTTGCCTTTTGAAAAGTATTTAAAAGTGGAAAAAATGTTTGTATTAGTTAGTTCTCATGCTGCTATGAAGAACTGCCCGAGACTGGGTAATTAATAAAGGAAAGAAATTTAATTGACTCACAGTTCTGCAGGACTGGGGAGGTCTCAGGAAACTTACAATCATGGTGGAAGCTGAAACAAACACATCCTTCTTCACATGGTGGCAGGAGAGAGAAATAAGTGCCCAGTGAAGGGGGCAGCCCCTTATAAAACCATCAGTTCTCATGAGAACTAACTCACTGTCACAAGAATAGCTCACTCTATGTATCAGGAAGCTGAGCTTAGAGAGATTCACCCATGGTGGCCGATTTGAGATTCGCTGCAGGGTTCCACAGTTCCGAAGTCCACACAGTGAACTGTTACATATGATGCCTCTATTCACCATGTGGGATTTCTCAAACCCTAGGTCTCCACAAAGCCTTCACCAAGAATACATTTGAGAAACTATGCTATATCTAATTGTTAGGTAAGTTATGTAGCAACTAATGCTCTGTAGTTCCACCACAGGGTGCTTTTTTCAGGATACAAAAGTGTAATCATTGTCATCACTTTGCCGGAACAACTCTTTTAGGCTCCTATCTGGCAAATTTTACAATAATGTAGCATTTCACCTACAGTAGTTAAATACTTTTTAAAATTTTTTCTGAGAAGGCAGTCTTTTCATGCTAATTCTTAGGTACCCAAAACTGCAAAATCTGTTTTGGTCATTCAATATCTTCATACTAGCTAAATGGATTTCACAAAGCGAAGAATCATTATCAGTCAAGATTCTAGCCATAAACAGAGGCCCAAATTTGATTATTTGATTAGAGATTATTGAAGGGTCTATTTATAATATTGTGTAGTCTATAGGAAAGGGACAAGGGATAGTGTAGAATCCCAGGGGCAAGTAACAGCGGTACTCAAAACTTATGCTAGACCTAAAAAGTGAGAAGTACAGGAGGCCCCCAGAACTTCAAAGGAGAGAATTGTGTGGAAAGGCTGCTTTGGCAGGAAGGTCAACTTTGGTAAAGACACACAGCCGAATTTGGGAGGTCTCTCGAAGTCCCTTTCATGTCTTGCTGCATTGGCCAAACCCAGTTGGAAGCCCGAGGACAAGACAGCTCACTGATGCCCCCTGGAACGGCCAGTGTGTTGGGACACAGAGCAGAGCAGAGAAGGGTAGAGCTGGGTCTGGAGGGACAAACAGAAGACATCTTGCACAGAAATCCCAGCGTTGAGTCAGAAAGAATGTTGCAATTCAGAGGAATTATTTTTATTTGGAGTAAAGCATAACCTGGAGAGATGGTCCTGAAAGTAGAGACACAAACAAGAGGCCATTCGAGTTCTGGATAAATTGAAACTGCTGAAATCCTCTTAACTGCTCATGATCCATTCTCTATGATTTACCCACCTTTTCCACCTCTGTCCTTGGGACAATCTTTTTTTTTTCCTTCAGCCTCAAATCACCAGTAAATTTACATACTCAGTATTTCATTTTCTCTCTCGCTTCTTGCCCACCGTTAATTACATTTTGCCTCACATTTCCCACCCGCTCTGCTTTTTGGCCATGCCACCCTAAAGAGAAATAAAATATAAAAGACAGAAGGCATTGGGGATTGCTCTGGAATCAGAGGCTATCCCAGAAGTGTTAAGATCAGAAAGATTTATAAATAAGATAGCATACAGTTCTGCCATATTTTATTTGATTAAGTTAGAGTTCTATTTATTAATAATAAAGCTCATCTTTGGGAAGCAATTATGTGATTTCCAAAATGTTGAAATATATGTGTGAAAATCTTTAAAATAGTCTAAAAAATGACCTTTCACTTTTACAAGCATTAGGGAGCATTTTAGGAGAACTTATGTAAGTGGTGAGAATTCAAAAGAGAACATATATGAAAAAATTACACTAAGAAAAATTTTTAGGTAAAAGTATATTAGAACAAACAAAATGAAAACAGTATAACCTAATATAATCCCTATTTTCGGTTCCAGTGAGTAGGGTTTTAAAGTTCAACGAATGCCACATACTGTGCTTTTCCATCTTCTTGATTATGCAAACACATGACCAGAAGCCAATTTCATTGCATTGACCCTCCATCCACACAGGGGATCTCTCTTGCTTTCTCCCTGTCTCTGTTTTGTTTGTTGTTTCCTTTCTCTTTCTTGTTCACTGTCAAGATGTCTTTCTGACTTGTTTTCTCTGTCACTCATCTTCTTTCTGGTCTTTTAACAAATTGCAGTTCTATTACAGATTTATTGAGTGATCAGGATTGAGTTTAGGAACTCCCTCTTTATGGTTGCAATAGATGAAATTTGGATTTTTTTTTAAGGTGAACTTGGGCCTAATTCTTCAATTCTTTTGCCAGGATGGGTTGACACCACTTCACTGTGCTGCACGAAGTGGGCATGACCAAGTGGTGGAACTTCTGTTGGAACGGGGTGCTCCCTTGCTGGCAAGGACTAAGGTGAGTCATTATGAGTAAGATGGGATCCTAAGGAATCTTTAAGTCACTTGATATATTATCTCTATTCTTTTTTAAATCGAAGCATCAGCCAAGCATTTTCTAGTTCTTTAATAATTGTGTGCTGGGAATAGGAACATGTATCAAACCACTTAAAAATATTAAAATAAACAGATATATGCATTAAGATGTATTGAATGTGTACCTTCAAGTTTTTTTCTATATTTTTATCTGTTATTCTTACTGCAGATGGAATTCTGAATACATCTGTATTTTAAATATAAATGAAAATATCTCTTAGATTCTGAGTCTAGATTTTTATAATCCTCTCAGATGACTATGAAATATATATAAAATTATCTTTTAAAGCAGCACAATTAGCAACACAAGATGAATCTTTTTGCTCATCCATTCTTTATCTCTTAGGTAATACTAATAAAAAATAATTACTCAACAGTGGTATTGATTGATTATGTTGAAGGTTAGTAGAGGTGATTTGGAAAGCACAAGTTGCAATAGGCCACCTACAAAGAACTATTAAACAAGCATATTTTCTTTATAACATACTACATCTAGCACTTTTTATTCTCATTTTATCAATATGCTCAAATGTGGGAGAAGCACTTTTCCATATACATGAACGCCACAGTGTGAGTTGGTTTGCTGAAGATTTTTCAATATCAAATGTATTTTAAGTGCTTTTATTATTGTATAGTTCTCTGTTATCCAACCCTACATTGGGTTATCAGAAAATATTTTGAGACACGAATTGAAGATATTCATGCAGAACTGAATAATGTGATATGCAGCAACCTTGGATCCTTAAATACAACACAAATTTAGACAAAGAGCACTTCTTATATTTTCTCCCTATTCCATTCCACCTCATACCCCCCACCACAGAGTTGGTATCAACTAATGCTATTACTAGGGTAAGCTGAAGAAACTAAGGCAATTGACACAAACAAATATTTTTCAATTTATATATAATTGAAATCATTTGAAACAAAACTAGCCCATATGTTTAAGACATGTGTAGAATGAACTCAGTTTGTAAAGATGTGCCCACATGCCATAAAAGAGTGGCTTCAAATCAGTAATATATGAAGAAGAGAAATAATTATCGCATTATTTTTATTCTCACACCTATACTGTGAATGTTGTATAGATCTGTCTTTAAAATGCAGCAATTTGGGCTGGGTAATGCAGAGACAATTATGGAAAGTTTTGATAAAGAAACATTGAAATTTAAATGGAAATAACAAAATTTCAGACCAATCATGTTACAACCAATACAAAAACCAATATCAAGTTGAAAATAGGCAGATAGGCTTTACAAACCATAAAATAATCTTATCTGCAAAGTTTGCTTGTAATTGTCATATCACTGATGAAGATGGTGGGTTACCTAGATGGAATTTTTTAACGTCCTTCCTGTAAAATCAAGTATCATTCAGATGTAAGGATCCTGCATAAAGTGTCTCTGAGTGTACAATTATATTCATGTATTTATGCATCCAAGTATTATATAATACTGAGTAGATACAATTTGCCAGGCAAGTGTTCTGGTCACTAAGGCACCATCAAGATGAATAATACACAATCTATAGCTGCAAGAAGCTCAGAATTTAGTGGGCATGAGAGAAAAAAAAAAGATAATTATAAAAAAATAGAGATATGTATAGGGTAAGAAACACAGAGAAGATGAATTAATCAGGTTAGAGCGAGGGGATACTGCTCTCCTGGGAATGGCATAGGTGCCTAATGCTAGACTATTCTTCCTCCCCTTCTGTATTAGTCCATTTCACGCTACTGATAAAGACATACTTGAGACTAGGCAATTTACAAAGAAGTTTAATGGACTCACAATTCCACTTGGGGAGGAACTCACAATCATGAGGCTGGGAGGCTTCACAACCATGGTGGAAGGTGAAAGGCACATCTCACATGGTGGCAGACAAGAGAAGAAAATGAGAACCAAGCGAAAGGGCTTTCCCCTTATAAAACCATCAGATCTTGTGAGACTTCTTCACTACCACGAGAATAGTATGGGGGAAACCTCCCCCATGATTCAATTGTCTCCCACTGGGTCCCTCTCACAACACAAGGGAATTATGGGAGCTACAATTCAAGATGACATTTGGGTGGGGACACAGCCAAACCATATTACCTTCCATAAAAACTCCTAGGTTTAAATCACCCATTCTTTCTTCTGAAGCAACTGTCTAAGTGTCACCCCACTCATTCCTTGTCAATTCTAGCTCTCAGCAAACTGTGACTCCTCACCACAACCCCTTCTTATTCTTGGTGACTTGACTGATTTTGATTAGAGCAGTGGATAATTCTTTAAGTTGGCCTCTCAGTTTGGTAACTGTAAACCTTCTACAATTTCTGTGTCTAACTTCCCTCTTGCCAGCCCCTCCTGTGTTTCAGCTCACTCTCTTCAGAACCCCAATTCCGAAATTCTTTTATTCTGCTGGGACTTTCAGTCATAGTTTCACTTTTCCTCATTCACATCATGCCCTTACCTCTGCCAGGCACAAATTTCATAGTCATTTATGCTACGCTCTTACATATTCATACTACCTACATTTCACTCAATTAAATTCAACTCATATTCATGCAACCAAATGTGGCTACAGGAAACGCCCAGCCACACTAACTGTGCTCACTTTACATTCATGATTGCTAACCTCAAGTGCGCTGGTAATGCTGCCTGACAATCACGCTCTGTTTTTTAAGTCTGTTCACTGTCAATCCCTGCTATCTGACCATTCTATATTTTCTTCAGAATTCTTAGACTTCTTTCCTTGTCTTCATTTCCCACAACACTGAGAGAATTGAAGCAATTGGAAGATAATTTCCAACCACTCTCACCTCCATATCTATCCAGTGACATGACTTGGAACCCATGTAGTCTACGTTCTCTCCTGTTACTATCATCTGGTGTGATTGCTTGGTTCTGTCTTCTCAAAACACTTTCTTTATTTGCCTTCTGGGACATTACATTCTTCTGACTTTCCTTCTGTTTTCCTAGCTGCCGCTTCTCAGTCTTCTTTACTAGTTCCTCCTCATCTCTCAGGTCTCTGAACGTTAGAACCTCCAGAGCTCAGTCTTTGTATCTTTTCTCTATTGGCACTCACTTACTATGAAATCTCATGCAGTTCTATCTTAAATAGTACCTGTATGCTGGTGCCACGAGTGTGTATCTTCAGAATTCCATATGTAGATGTCAGCTCACCATTGCCACTTGGATGTCTCCTGGGCATCTCAAATTTAGTAAGCTCAAAATTACCCACCTCTCAACCTAATCTTCCTGTTAGCTTTCTTATCTCAACAAATGGCCGTCTCATTTTTTCAGTTTCTCAGGTCTCAGGCCAAATACCTCATGCCATGTTGGACTCTTCTTTTTCTCATTTTCCACATTCTGTCACCAAACACTGTCACCTCTTCCTTCAAAATGTGTCACTAAGTCAGCAGCTTGCCAGCCATCTCATTACCAACACTCTGTTCCAAGTCACCATCAACCCTACCTGGAGGACTATAAGAGGTCCCTAATTGACTTCCCTTCTTTTGTGTTTTGTCCATGTAGTCTATTCTCAGCACAGCAGCAAGAGTAATCCTGTTGCCCTAAACCTTCCAACAGCACCCCATGTCTCTCTGAGTAAAAGTCACTTACCTCTTTGAATTCCTCCCCTTATCCATCCGCCTCATTCACTCGCCTTAAACCACATTCTTCTCCTTAGTGATTATTGATATCAATCATGCCAGTTATAATCCCAACGCAATATGTTTGCAATTGCCTTTTCTCAGTCTCAAGTGTTTTTCCCCCAAGTCAACAAAACTAGCTCTCTTACTTCCTTCATATCAAAACTCACCTTCTCAGTGAGGCCATTTCTGAACATCCTAACAAAATTGCACTCATGTACACAAACTCCCTAGGCCATTCTGTGTTTTTGTTTTCTCCTTTCCATTGATGGCCATCCAACATACTATATACTTTAATTCTCATTATTTTGAAATTGTATGTCTGGCTTCCACACTAGAATGTAACCTTGTTGAAGACAGGGGTTTCCTGTCTGTTGTGTTCCCTGCTGTATCCACAGTACTTGAACAGGGCTTGAGTAGGTGCTAAGTAAATATGTGTAAAATGAACAAAAGATTAGATTATAAATATTTTGTTTTCCATATAAATAACTTTCAAATAGGTAAAACAGCATCAATGAATGGCAATTTTTCAAAAAAACATGCAACAATCTAGTCCAAACTTCATCAAGGCTTGAATTTCTTCTACACTTTGCCCTTGACAGTTATCTTCCCCTCAATGCATAAATGGCTTCTCATCAACCTGTTCCTCTTTTTCTAAACTTATTTAATGAATTTCTAAATATGAAAGCATAATTATGAATGAAGATTATTTCAAAATATATGAATAATTTGTAAGTCACATATACTTTACCACAATTAAGAATTAATGTTTTTTTTTTTTTGGTCCCTCACTGTTGAAATCACCTTCCTTGTTGAGAATATTGGGCAGGGGGCCTTTTCTGGTAACTTATCCAGATACAGTTTCTGCTTTGTTGAATGTAATTACTGCCAAACTGGATACCTGGCCAACAATCCTTTTTCTAGTGGTCATATTTGCATTGGTTATTAAGAAGAGACAATAGTCCCATCTCTTTAATAGGCAAATTGTTTTTTAAAATTTAGTTTTTTTCCTAAGTTTACATACTGTTTCCTGAAAGTTTATTTATTTAGCTTTAAAGAAATGAGAGTCTTACTGAGTCTGATAAACAGTGCTTTACGCTGCTTTCTTGTGTTCCTGCTGTTGACGTTATTCTAGAATTAAGACTAAAGCTGTTTTGGTCCATATTAATGAAGACAAATTTAGATTACCCTCAAATGTAAAAGTTGTGAGGTCATTGGCACATGGCCCACATTTGTCTCACACTCATCTAGCTCTTACCGGCCTGTTTTCTCCAAGTCCAATTCAAGTCTCCTGATACTATAGGAAAAAGGGATCGTAAAATTTCAGAGCAACATGGATCTAAAAGATGATCAAAGTTTCCATACCTCCCTGACGTCTTGTAAATGAACTTGCTTCTCATTCACCCACTTCCCTCTGTATTTATAAGAAATGCAGGCAGAGAGATTAAATGAATGCAGACTGCTATGCATGGAGTTGGATATCAAGTTAAGCATTAGCTCTTATTTATTTTTCTGTATTTAATATTGCCCTAATAACTGTAAAATCAGGCTAAATTGCCACTAAATTGCCACACATACCATTCATGACAGACATACTAATTTGCATTTTTGTCTATGGTAGTATAAGTATGAAATTAAATGTTCTCTTAGTGCCCATCTCTACCAAATATAGTCTGCTGTATATTCTGATGTCAAATGGAAATTATTTTTTCCCCTGCCACTAACTGTGTTAGAAATCAAGAATCAACTTTGCTATATTTTGGAACCTGAAAATAATGAAAAAAAAATTGACATTATTTTGTTTTCTCTTAATGTGCAGAATGGGCTGTCTCCACTACACATGGCTGCCCAGGGAGACCACGTGGAATGTGTGAAGCACCTGTTACAGCACAAGGCTCCTGTTGATGATGTCACCCTGGACTACCTGACAGCCCTCCACGTTGCTGCGCACTGTGGCCACTACCGCGTAACCAAACTCCTTTTGGACAAGAGAGCCAATCCGAATGCCAGAGCCCTGGTAAACTTGGCCCAGTCCACATTAACTGAATACAGATTGAGACAAACAAACCCACATTCATTGACCAACATGCATACACCAGCAATGCATGGTTACAGATACGTAGTTAATGCTGGTAAATCTGTCACCCTTCACAATCGGCCTGTCTACTTCATACCTTTATAGTTTGCTAGCACATGCTGGTGAGCAAAGATGTATTTAAGAGAACACCAGTGTAACATTTCTGAAACTAGTGAGTTGCAAACAGATAGATATGAAACCTTTGGAGTGATAAGCAGTTTTAAATGGAAAATAGAAGTTGAAAAATAGAAAATTACAAAATAAATTCTAGATACCTCTAGATAAAGTTAGGACACGAGGGTGAAAAGTTGAATTTATTAATCTCTTTTTGGAAAAAAATTAATGGTGAATTTATTTGACTATGTAAGAGGGTATAAAATGTAAGCCTATGAAGAGTTCACTTGAAAATTTTCCTTGTTGACTTGATTACTCAACCATAGGCTAATAGAAACATTATGCCTGGTGTGTTATTGCTTCAGGGAGCATTTTATATACACCATTTCAGGAATTGCTGGAGAGAAAACTGCAAGAGGCTGTCCCTAGAGCAATTTTATGTCTCCCCAGTTTTAATACTGAATAAATCTTTCTTGCTTCACTTATTTTCTAACAAGAATCATTGGAAGTATTAGACATGTACTAATTTATGCCTCTTTTTTCCTAATTCTCAAACTAAAAGTAAATCCTTTTTTCTATGTGTTTACATGGTTTGTGTCTGTGAAAATTGGTCTTCAGACAATCGGTATTTAAGCTGAGAGACCTTCATTAGAATCATCAAATATTAAATATGATTTTTATGAGAATTTCTCCATTGGAATCAATTTATGGATAATTCCATGGGAATTGAATATATTTTCCAGATTATATGTAATTATGTGAAAACATTCATTTTCTCTAGGGAGCCAAAAACATTAATTTTTTAATTGGATAGTGGTCAATAAGCTTATAAAATATCACAGCCTGTTAATTGCAAATATTTTAAGTGCTGCATGTGCATGTGGCTATTTACATCTGGCATGTTGTATAGCTCATAAACAGGGGAAATGACTTAACCGATTAATTATGTTTGTCACTCTATTGTGAAAAATAAGAAGTCATCAGCTTAAGTAAGACCATATGCTTTCCTGAAAACTGCTAGTGTGTAAAAACGTTGACTGATGATTGGTCCATGTTGGGACATGCAAAAATGTTAGCTGGCAGAATAGAAGTAACAAAGGAACATTGTTGAAATAAAAAAAATATAATACACGATAAGTAAGCATGGGGCCATTTAACACATTTTACTTGATGTGCCCCAATTCCTGGGCATTAGCCTAGTTCGCCAAGTTAGCAAGTACCTGACAGGCTTCTTTCCCACGTTTCTTCACTCCTAGAGCTACCTCATTGCATTTATCCCAGAAATTCTCCATACATTTCTTGAAAATATCCAGGAACTTAACAGTCATTTCTTTATGCAATAAAAGTTATCTGATAGGCATATATGTTGTAAAAATGATGTAAAAATATAGCTTCTATATGTAAAACTGATCAACATAATGATTTCTGCTGACTTGAAATACACCCTTTATAAAGAAAGTGGTAGCAAAGTTGAAATATTTCTTAGAAAGGCAGCATATTCTTAGATTTTTTAAGTAGATGAATAATTCTTATGCTCTGAGAAATGACCCTTCAGAAGAATATATGCTTATCTTCAATTCATCTTCAAGTCATTTACAAACCAGGACAATCAATATACCTTAAAACATCTTAGAACTTCTAAAATATAATTGCTCGTCTATTTGTCTTTCTTTAAAGGGAAGGACCATGTATTTTTCTTCACTTTTGTTTTCTCTATAAACACACAAACAGAATTATGTACAGGCCCACCACACATAAGTGAAGTTCAGTGCCTACAGGAACACATCACCATTTTTCTTTCCAAATTCCAACACCTACAGGGAATGAAGAAATGGTAACATTATGTGATGATGTAACATTATTGCCTGCAATGTGCCAGCATGGAGTTGTGTGAGAATTGTTTCTGCATGTTTTCAACTAACTTGATTGTCTTTTGCACAGAATGGTTTTACTCCACTGCACATTGCCTGCAAGAAAAACCGCATCAAAGTCATGGAACTGCTGGTGAAATATGGGGCTTCAATCCAAGCTATAACAGAGGTAGAAAAATGTTTTAGCTAGTCACAAAGCATTCCTTCTCTTACTCCTTCCTCCCTTTCCTTTTTCTCATCTTCTGTCCTCTTCACTCAAGTTTTATTTATCTGAAGAAGCCCCAAAGCCCCACCGGTGCAGAGGAGTAAAACTGCTGTTGCTTTGTTTCGCAGTCTGGCCTCACACCAATACATGTGGCTGCCTTCATGGGCCACTTGAACATTGTCCTCCTTCTGCTGCAGAACGGAGCCTCTCCAGATGTCACTAACATTGTGAGTATGGCTTGGGTCAGAATAACCCCAGGGAGAAAGAGCGAGAGGAACAGAGACCGTGGGTGTGTGTACGTGTGTTTGTGTGTATGTCATCAAAGTAAGCCACCAGGCTTTGAGAAGGGCCCTTGTAATAACATATTATTGAAATAATCGCCAGAACTTCACTGAAAAGAACCTGGATAGGGTAGGAGGTAAAATGGAAGCTATGAAGTGAGACAGCTTAAGATTCTGGGTGTAGGTGGATTGAACATGCCTCTTAAATGCATTTATTAAAACAAAATACATTTTAAAAGCTCCTCTGAAAGTGAATGGATAATTGGTTGGAATAGAATTTTCAGGGCTCAACCTAGTTGCTTGAGGGAATTGTATTCCAGGCAATTTTCACAAAAACATCAAATCAGTACCATAATTAATCTTAACAAAAGATTAACCAGAGATAGATCAATATCGGAGACTTTTACATGGTATCAAACTCTTCCTTCTTCAGTTACATGGATTTCCCATTTTGTAACATTACATTGATTTTTACTTTTGATTTGATCTGATTTGCTAGAGTGGAGGCTTCTCTTAGCTGAAAGTTATACCATGTATCCTGGAATGAATGTTGGTCTCCAGACCACTTTCATTCAGTCAACAAGTACTGGATGTCTCAGAATTTTTCTGTGTAATCTAAATTAGAATTTCCCCTTCTAATTTCTTTGTGTATCTCTCATTTTCTTGGATTTTTCCCCTTTAAACTTTGGTCATTGTATCATGACAAATCATTGAATGCAAATTTTCTCCTGAGCGAGAGAACTTCTTTGCACAAGGTGCAGGCAGGTATTTGAAGTTCAAGAAGGGCTAGTAGAGTATTGAGATTCACGTGTGCACCAGAAATAACTCTCTCAAAATAAATATTAGTGCTTATTATTAAAATGAGCTATGTTTTCAAAAGCAATTGATTGGCACTTGTTGCTAATTTTTGGCATCTCTTTCCATTTAAGTTGTGAAAGAGAATGTCCAATTTCATTTTTTATTTGTATTCCCTCTCATATTTCTTTTTTTCTGTGTTTCACACACCGTTTCCACAGTGAAGTTTCTGATGGCTAGGAAATCCACTGTGAGAGTTAATTTAATTGATTTTAAAAATTATTTAATACTCTCTCTTCATATTATTCAGTAATTGGAGCATAAAATCATTGAAGAATTTAAAGCCTATATTTATAAGTTTTCTTAATTATAGCTTATTGGTCCTAAGGTCATAATATTATATGCTAATCTTTATTTACTCCATTAGACATAAGAGTAATTTCACAATGTGCCAACGTAAGTTTAATTTCTAGTCACTTCTTGGAACTTTAAAAGTAATCATCATCCCCCTCCTTTTTTTTTTTTCAGATGACTACCTTTTTTTTTTCTTTTTTAAATTGAGACCTGAACAGACTTACATACAGGCCAGTAACATGAAAACAAAAAACAAACAACAAAAGAAAACAAACAAACAAACAAAAAACCCTCTGTGTTCTTGCCCGCCTTTTCCTTGTTTTCTGCACCTTTTCTTATTTGCATTCCAGTGCCTATGGGATTAGAGGAGCAATAGTGACATTATGTTACAATATGTTGTCACATTATTATGATAACATGTACAAGAATATTCTGTGGATTGCTTGATTGCAATCGCCTAAATTAACCTCTTTTAGGGGAGATTTTTACAAAATCTTCAAAGAATAATCCCTATAGAATGGTTGTGGAATTTGTGGCCACTCTTACTTTGCTACTTCACTGAGCAATTCCAAATCTTCAGATGGTTATGGAGTTATAATATACTCCCTTCTATTAAAAAAAATTATATAGGGTACATGTATATTTTCAAATAAAAATAAAATATTAATTGAAATAAGCAATTTTGACATGTTTTTCAGGTTGTTGAAGACTCTCAAATTTGACAATTGTTACATTAAACTTTAGCTTCCAACTGTTGGTTATTTAAAGTTCTTCATTTTATCTGTTCATTTGTCCATTATGTTATCTTTCCATTCAGCTCCCTCAAAACAAATTCTTGAGGGGCATATGCCAATATAATTTCCGTGTTTTCTAGTTATGTTTTGTAAGATACATCCTTCAGGAAGCAGATACCTATTGATAGGGCTGCCCGGTAAATTATAGGACTCTCAGTTAAATTTAAATTTCAGATGAAAAATAAATTTTGTATATGACCCATGCAATAGTTGAGACATAGTAAAATAATTATTTGTTGTTTGTCTGGAATTAAAATTTAACTGGCTGTCCTATATTTTTAATTGCTAAATCTGGCAATCCTACATTTAGAGGAATTTAACTTTCTCTAACAGTGAGATGCCTGTGAAGTTGTGTTTTCTCAGAATATGAGGATATAGCTACTGGATCCAAAATTCTTTGCAAGTTGATGAAGAAACCGTGTGAACACTGACTGCCTGCTTGCTGTGTCAGAGTTGGTCACTTCCTGACCCTAAAATACCCCACCCTTGGAGCCTTTGTGTGTTGCCTGAAATCATGTTGCATTTTTGAATGCAATGCTGTTTGTTGTGCTTTGATGCTTTTCAACTTGATGCGCCCGAAGTGGAAGTCAATGTAGCCCTGTCAGCAGAGTCAGTTTTAACAACTGAGAAGAGTGGCATGAAATTTAGTACCTGCTTTGGACATGAGCATACTCATTCTCTTGCTATTTTTGTTTTTGTCTGAGAATTCACTCCAAGTGTGAGGTGTACCAGTAACTCAATCACGTATAGACCTTTTTTTTTAACTGAAAATCTCCTTTTCCAGAAGGTTTATTAATACACTTTGAAATCTAGAATGCCGAACTGCCAATTACGACATATCCATAATCCAAAGTATTCATCAATAACTATAGGAATAGAAAACTTAAGCATTTTAACAACTATCAAGAAAGAATGCAAGGTCTTACAAAGTTTTATCTTCCTTCCCATAAGAAATCAGTGGACTAATGGTAAAGTTCACACATTATATTGTGCTTAAAAATTTTCCCCAATCCTTAAATTTCATTAGCTTGAGATAAGAAAGACAGGGCTATTAAATAAAATAGAGTGTCTGACAATCAAGAAATGGAAGTTATTTATTAAAACAATATATCCTGACGTTCATTTTCTTATTTATTCTTATATATAAACAATGGTAATATTAAATCAAAAGACTACTAAGGGCAATTTACAGTAGAAGTCTATTATGCCAGAGGCATTAGATAAGAATTAAACAAGACCGTTATTATAAAGTGGAGAGACTATGTGTGTGTTTATACATAACCTTTGTTTGAATTTAAGCTTTAGTGCTTTAAATTAGATTCTATATTTAACTCATCAACTTCAAGTGTGTAAAACCCATAAAAAATAACTTAAGTATAAAATAAAGTTTCAGAAATATTGGCCAGTATTGGAAACATTTCAGATTTTGAAAGCCTCTTATTGATAAAACTTGGCTTAAAAAGTTAACACGAAGGCCAAGCGTGGTGGTGGATGCCTGTAATCCCAGCTACTTGGGAGGCTGAGGCAGGAGAATCACTTGAACCAAGGAGGCAGAGGTTGCAGTGAGCTGACATTGCACCACTGCACTCCAGCCTGGGGGACAGAGTGAGACTTTGTCTCTAAATAAATAAATAAATAATAAATATGAAAGTTTGTCATTAAGTAGGAATTCCTGGGACCTCTTTGACTTTTAACTTCTTATAAGGAAATTTATTATTACCTTCATTTCTACCAAAATTAGTAAAATTGCTAGCCTTTTATCAGACCTAGAAATAACATAAAGATTTGAGGAGTATTGTTTTTGTTTTTCTGAGACACAATCTTGCTCTGTCACCCAAGCTGGAGTACAGTGGGCAAGATCATGGCTCACTGCAGCCTCAACCTCCGAGGCACAGGCTATCCTCCTGCCTCAGCCTTCCGAGTAGCTAGGTCTACAGCTATGCACAACCATGCCTGACTAATTTATTTATTTATTTATTTATTTAGAGAAGAGATCTTGCTATGTCTCCCACACTGGTCTTGAATGCTTGGCTTCAAGCAGTACTCCTGCCTTGACCTCCCAAAGTGCTGGGATTACAGGCTTGAGCCCCTGTACCTAGTCTTGTTTTGTTTTGTTTGAATACCATCAGCCCTCTGTATCAGCAGCTTCTGTATCTGTGGGTTCTAAATCCATGGATTTAATCAATCTTGGATTGAAAATATTTGAAAAAATAAAAATAAAAAATACAATAAAAAATAACAAATTTTTAAAAAGTACCGTATAACAACTATATAGCATTTACATTTTGTTAGGTATTATAACTAATGCAGAGCTGAATTATACAGGATTATGTGCATAGGTTACATGCAAATACTACACCATTTTATATAAAGGACTTGAGCATCCACGTATTTTGGTATTGGTGGGGGAAGCAGGGGGCCTGGAACCAATCCCTCAACAATACAGAGGGACAACTGTAGTTAGAAGATCTTAGCCTCATCTATTTGGAGACAGGTTTTAAATGATAGAGAAAACAAGTTAGAAATCATGGTTGTCCAGGGAGGAAAAATCTTGCCATACATCTAAAATCCGAAGATAAATATTAGCATTCATTTTATAAAACAAAATGCTCCAGATAGATTTACTTTACAAAAGTCTAAATCTGTCATCAGAAAATAAGCCCATTAGAGGATAAATGAGTCATCAACAAAGAAGAGAAAATTAGAGTAGATATCAAATTTAGTGCTTTCACAATCAAATCATTTGACATGAATTTCTCATAACTTCAAAAGAAATGGTCTCTAAAATACTGAGAAAAAATTAACTGTGAACTATGTGCCAAATTAAAGTTCACCTTAAAGTTTCTAGATTTAAGGGTTTGTTGTGCAAGGAATCAGAATAATTCACTGGAGTTTGTCAATTAGCACAACCAAATTTAAAATCAATTTAGTTTATTTGGAATGGTTTACTTGGTTGAAATCAGCCAAGTAAAGTAAAGAACAGTCTAGAAAACTGTTCTTATTTTATAGAACAGTTGTGGTAAATCAATCTGTAATAATTTTTATTTCAATATCTTAAAATTACTTGAGTGAATGAAACCATGCCTTCTTTAGAACTACATAGTTTTAAAATATGCTGATTTTTAAAGCCCTCTCTCTTAGAGACAGTAGAGTAGTAACCGGCTTCTTGAAGAGAAAATTCTCTTACACCCTCGTTCTTCATGCCACACCTAAAGCCACCCTTTCCTGACAAGTGTGTCATATTTTGGTATAGAACAAAGATACTGGAGGCGTGATGCACGGCCTACCTCAACAGATGACACTGCTGACAGTCACTTTATTCATCTTTCAGTGGCTCTCTCAAATAACTGTCTATAATTAAATATGCTCATTAATCTTAAATAGGGGACCTCCTAGGCAAATCAGATTTCTTGTCTGATCCGTTTTTGTCTAGTCTCATAACACAAAGAAAAATCAGATACAAAATAATAGTTTATTTCAGAAGTAAATTTTGAATCTTGAAAAGAAATGATTTATTTATGGTACAAGTGGTGTTAATGTTTTGCAACGTGTTGATCTTCAGCATGTAGAGTTTCTCACTGAAATAGTTTCAAGCTGTGATCACATAGTTAAGTGAGACAGTGACAGATTTTAGGTTTTTAGGGTAAAAGATAATTTCATCACCAAAATCAATTTAAAGGGATGCTTGGCTGATTGTGAAGTTAAACAACTCAGAGTATCCTGGATGTTCGGGTACATTTACTAGTTTGTCACGGACTTAAAAAAATAAAATAAACATTTGTTTTTCCTTATAAAGATGGGGAAGAAAAATACAAAAATTATCTGGGCGTGGTGGTGCACGCCTGTAGTCTCAGATACTCAGGAGGCTGAGGCAAGAGAATCGCTTGAACCCGGGAGATGGAGGTTGTGGTGAGCCGAGGTGGTGCCATTGTGCTCCAACCTGAGCAACAAGAGTGAAACTTTGTCTCAAAAAAAAAAAAAAAAAAAAGGAGAAGATACAAATCTATGTTTTCCAGACTATGCCTTTTCATAGGTTTCTTAAATCCTTGGATATATTGCTGAATTTCACAAAAGGGACAACTTTATTATTTACCATCCAGAGCAGTGGGTTAATTTCTGATTTAACGATCTTTGTTCCCTGGCAGCGTGGGGAGACGGCACTACACATGGCAGCCCGAGCCGGGCAGGTGGAAGTGGTCCGATGCCTCCTGAGAAATGGTGCCCTTGTTGATGCCAGAGCCAGGGTAGGTGCTGGTGCCCTGAGGTTCTCTTCTATCTCAGCGCATGAGTTTCAACCTTAAGAGAGGATGTTGCCCTTCAGTTCCTTGATTTGGAAATACCAGGGACTGTAAGTGAAAGGATCAATTCAGTAGTAGTTTTCCAGGAAAAAACATTATATAAGCAATTACACGCAATGAAAAATGCACCCGAATTTCAGAACACTAACATTTGAAAAAATGTACAACTTTCAACTAAGAAATACGGCATTGACTAATATTTTAATACTTTTTTTAACCTTGGAAAGCACTTTCTCATATCTCTTTATTTTCATGAATTTTAAAATGTAACCTATAGTATTTAGACATTATACATATTAAAATTTATTTATTACCACCTAAACCAATCACATTTCCACAGTTACCCCTCACTAGTTACATAAAAGCAAGTTATTCTCAAAGTTTTAATGTTTTCCCTTCATCTGTTTGACTTCCCTCCTTTTTATGATGTTTACTTTTCTTCCTACTCTGATTTTACAAATTTATACATTCTGTATTTCCACTACTCCAAAATAGAATTTGGGCACTGAAGATTGCTTGATCAGACTTGCCCTGTTTCTAATAGCTTCTAATTCCCTCACAAGTTGCTTTTTCCTTCTTTTTCTTTTTTAAAATCTTACTCCCCAATTTATTTTCTCATCTTCCTTTACATTGAATACACTGTCAATATACTGTATCTTGTATTTCCTTTTCCATGTTGTTATTTAACTTTTGCATTGGCATCACTGAGATTCTTACGTTAAACAATTTCCCTCCTTCTTCAATATTTGATACACCCAAGTTAGAACTCATTTCAGTTTGAGTCGTACCACTATAATACAGTGTTATATTAGAATGAAAGCATCTGGCTACGGTCATATAAATTGTAAGTGATTTCAGGCAAGTCACTTCACTTCCAGGTCTTTTTAAAAAATTATTATTATACTTTAAGTTCTGGGATACATGTGCAGAATCAGGTTTGTTCCATGGGTATACATGTGCCATGGTGGTTTGCTGCACCCATCAACCCGTCATCTACATTAGGTATTTCTTCCAATGCTATTCCTCCCCTAGCCCCCCACCCGCTGATAAGCTCTGGTGTGTGATGTTTCCCTCCTTGTGGCCATGTGTTCTCATTGTTCAGCTGCCACTTATGAGTGAGAACATGCAGTGTTTGGTTTTCTATTCTTGTATTAGTTTGCTGAGAATGATGGTTTCCAGCTTCATCCATGTCCCTGCAAAGGACATGAACTCATTCTTTTTTTATGGCTGCATAGTATTCCATGATGTATATGTGCCACATTTTCTTTGCCCATCATTGATGGGCATTTGAGTTGGTTCCAAGTCTTTGCTATTGTGAATGGTGCTGCAATAAACATATGTGTACATGT